TATCCTCATAGATTTCGTTGCCCGATCCACCCGCACGTGTAACCTAAGCCAGAACAGAAAAGCAAAACGGTTTCGGGAAAGAGACAAAACGCCAATGCATGAGAAAAAGCAAGTAACAATAATACCGATGCCAAAGATGTAAATAAATCAAAGACACGAGCCGATGAAACCGTTGTCTGTCGCAGAGGCTTTAAAAATGAATCTCATGGCTCACACGTGTGCGTATCAGAAAATGCAGTCGTAGCGTACGGTAGTGATTGTTTTGCTTTATTTTGGGGTTTCTTGTTGTTGGCATTGTGGGTTTTGGTGCTTTCCCTACTCTCTTTCTTCTGTTGCTCAGATTCGGAGCAATAAAAACGAGATCTTTCACTCACTCTTTTCTGATATGATCTTTCTTTGGGCATGAGATGGACTTAACTTTGGCTTCTTTTACTTTTACTTTCTTTTCTTTTTATTGTTTTTAATGTGAAGCGTAATGATATGTGTTTTTGGGGTAAATAAATGTAATGATGAGTTGTTTTGTTGGGTGGCTACGTTCATTGTTTTGTCAATTTCAATTTAAATCCTACATTTTCATCAAATGACATATTAGTGTTTGTAATAACTTTTTAAAATTATACAAAGGACAAAGACCGTAAATGAATGAATCATCTCATTAGCAGTATGACGGATATGAGTAAAACGGACATTAGCTGAAATGATGCGGAGAGAATTACTCTAAAAATTACTTTTCTATAACTCCTTTCTACCATCACAATTACCCGAATCTAGTACAATTACATCAAGGATAAAACTAGATGTTAATCGACATGACTTTCCTAAAGAGACTGGGAACATCCATCAAACTTAACTCATGGAGTTTCTAGAATTCTATTGAACAAAACCGAAAAAACTAAAACAATGCGCTAGCAAACCTAATCCAGGGCGTTAGCAGGTATGTGCTCTACACCAAAAGAAGGGGTGATCAAATACGTTTACTTGTCCAACATTGGTCTGTATAATCCTTCTAGAGGTGTAATGTATCGAATCCTCAAATGCACCGAATGTGACCCCTTTCCTCAGCACATTACACAACAATATCGTAACACAAGGTAAGATTTCAATCGATCAAAGCCAAGTAACACACATGAAGTCTAATGCTTAGCTTGCTCCACACACCTTTTCCTAAGTACACCATGTCGTTAGCTCCTTTATTGAGGAACATGAGTTCCTAGTTCGACAAAAATTCACGAGTTAACACGTGTTGTAAAAATGTATATTACTAATTAGGGTTAGGACCAGTTACGTCTTACTAATACCAGGTTGAAATAGAAATACTAATTGGAGAGCTCTAAGTCGGTCTTATTTGTATTCAAGCTCAAATTGTTCTTATTTGCCCTAAAATTTGGATATTATTTAAGTATTTTATATATTACATTGAAGATTAAATATTTATTTATTAATTTAAGCATAAATTAAGCTAAAATATTGGACTAGGCTAGAACTCTATTCTAATTAATATAGCTATCTTAATCAGGGAGGCTATAATGAGGGGTAAAAGTGAGGGCTTATAATGAGGGGTTCCTTAATAGTCGTTGCTCTAGGGCATAGTTATTATTAGACTGCTCGATTGAATCCCGTCATTATAACCCCTTAATTTTACCCATCATTATAGAAGCTCCCCTATCTTAATTATCTAATATTCTAATATGGGACAATAACCCTAAACCCTCTAGATCCTAGCCAAAAATTAATTCGGGAGGATGACGTAAAATTTAGGATAAAATGGATTGAACAATAACTCCTGAGCATTAACGAAAAGGTTTGCGAACAAAGAGAGAGCGATAATGGCAGATGAGAAAAGAGAAGATGTTAGGTCAGAGTTTCTTTGTGGTGAAGATTAAATGTGTAAAAGACAAGGTAGAGATGACGAATAGTGAGTTGTCATGTCAAAAGTTATGTTTTATTTAAAAATCAGTCGATTTGGTTAAACTTGATAATTGAATTGAAATATAAAAAAATTGAAACCGGTTGTACTAGGTCGGTTCAATTTTTAATCGAATTAAAGAAAAATCAAACCTTACATTCCCAAGCAATTCGGTTAGGCTGGTTTGGGTGATTTTTCAGTGAGATTGCGCAGCTCTAGTTTCACATATCATGTGCCATCATCCACATCTATTCCACTATGCTATGCTATTTAACAACGTAAAATCAACTGATAGACCAGAATGGGAGTGGAAAAAGTGGAAAAAGAAAGTCACAAAGCAATCAATCATTTCAGTAGTAAAAAAGATTCATGACAGAGAATAGAACTTGTAAAATTATAGCAAAGGGTGGCATGGTAGTAAACTATCCAAATCAAAAGTGATTCAAAATGACCAATCAAAAGTAGGCTAGAAGAGGAGACTAGATCGAGTCATCACAAAAAAGAAAAAAGGCTTATGATCGTTGAAACCACTCAAGCACTTAGTTTTCTCCATAGAGTTCTAAGAATAAATTTCTTAGTGTTCCGCATATTTAATTCTCTATGGACTTTGCATAAATTGATGAAAATAACAAAGGTAATGATAAAATAATAATAAGCATATATGAGTGACATCCCCTAAGCCTGTTTAACTTTCTCGGCTCGTTTTCATATATTATCACCAGAAAAGTTTGTCGGCAAGCCAATTGTAGATACTTCTCGAGAAGGCATTGTTCATATTTGGGAGAAGCATGTATTAAAAGAAGGAAAGAGAGTGTGCAACCAATTAAGTAAAGATAATACATATTTATGTTGAATGTAACTTCAAATTATTCATAATTGATTGCATTGTTGGCCATCATGTTATACTTGTTTTTTGTCAAATCATAGAAATATCATTGATAAAAGTCGAAAGGCTCGATTACAATAGTCACACAGATAACCAATCATTTGAACCCATAAGTTGCTGAATATATTAAAACATGCTCTTAAAAAAAACTGAACCATATTTATGTGGGGCAAATTAATGTTTACATCTTGTTTGTTGCCTTGTAATAGAGCATAAAACAGAATGTACACACTGTGGATGCTTGGTCCTAAATCAACTTAATTTATACGAGATTAACAAAAAAATGTTAATCATTGCAGAGTTTGACCATTTAGGTGGATTGTAATTCTGATTTTTCATTTTGAATATGTTTTATTATTAAGAAAAGTATTCATTTAGTTATGAGATTAATTGAATGATAATATATACATAGTTATTTACGCTCACACCTCTTAAGTTCTTTCATGTTTTTACGGAACTTTCGAAATTTTGGAAATTTCACTAAAACCTTATAAGGTTTCGAATTGTTTTTTACACAACCCGTTGTCCTTCCATTAATTTTCCTTCCAAAATATTTTGCAAATGACAAAATTAACGTCAAAGATTAGACCTCGAGGGTGTATGTACACAAGGGATCCCCTTAAATACTTGTAAGGCCCGTTTTGCTTTGTATTTCAGTAATATGAATGATGTATTTTTAAGGAAGTCCCTCAAAGATCATTGCTGTAAAAAATCACTCGAATTCGCAACTATTTAACTGCTCAATTAAATTGTTGTCATTTTAGCGTTTTCTTAAAATACCATGTTCGTATATTTTACGCGTCAAATTAAATACATAAACAGCTTCCAAATTGTCTACAAAAACGAGTGCCGTCCAGAACAAATTCCTTAAATAAATTTATTTGCGGAATGTCTAAATTAGAAAGGGACTATACATAAGTTGGTCAAATTTCCTTGTAAAGAAAAAGAAAGGCATAAGTTCACTAATTTACAATATGAGTTTGCATTGAGGTTATAAGTGACCTATTAAAATTATCCTTTTATTGTACATCTAAGCTGTCAAAGTTTCTCGATTCTCAGTCAAAAGCAGTACGTTTGGCCATTCGTCCCAAAAAAAAAGCAGTACGTTTGGCTTGCAGAAGCTCGTGAAGGAAAGCAATTTTTTTAGCTCAGGCTGGTTACTGGTAATTTGCTGAGCTGGATCAAGTACATGCATGCACCATTGGAAAATTTGGAATAATAATAAATGAAAAAAAATCTATCCCCACCAGCCAAGTAGGTAACAAAGAGGCTCAAAATGGGAGCATAATAAATAAAACAATATAAAGAGAAAATAAATAGAATTAAATATTGGGAAAAAAAAATAAAAAATGATGGGTATTCAGTTATGGGAAGTGAGAGAGCACAGAAGGACATTGACAGGTGGTGGGGGTGATGCTTAAGACTCTGGTCCTTGAAAATTTCCGTTCTTTGAAAAAAGCAAAAAACGTTTTGCAAACAGACAAACAGATTCTGGTTTTCCCCAAAGCCCAAGGCCACAACACAAGAGGAGGAGGATGAGACAAAGCACTGGCAACAGTGGAAATATTACTACATATTTAACGCCAACACCAAGACTCTTCTCCCAAGCATAAGTTTAGAGAAAAACCCCCCCCACCCCCACCACCACCACCCACACGAGCGGTTCTCGAAGTGCATGCACAACAGCACAGACTTTCTGCCTTTTCAAATAAACAAGCCCATTTTCCTATATATAAGAGAGAGAAACAGAGAGAGAGAGAGAGAGAGAGAGAGAGAAGAAAAGATCATATCAGTCTCAAAATATGCACCCCACCTGACTCTCTGTGAGTTTGTGTGAGAGAGAATCAAATTTCAACCGTGTGGTTGGTTTCTTCTCTTCTTTTTGTGTTATTGATACAAACCAACCCAATTCTCTGTTTTTACCTGTTCCCTTTCTTGTTTAATTTTCTCTCCCTTTCTTTTCTGCCGAACAGACCCTTCTTTTGAGTGAGTGATCTCACGGGTGGAGAGAGGTTTAGATCAACTAGATAGGTAGCCCTCCTGATCCTCTGATCATCACTTCTTTTCTTCATTCTCACAAGTCTAGAAGAAAAACCGAGTGTTGCTTTTGTTCTCTGCCTTGTGGCATTGCCTTATTTCTGTTTGATAAAAAACCCATCTTGATTAGCAGCTCAAGTTTTTTACTTTCAATCTTCATTCTCATTGGAAATGGCTCCTCAACATCTGAAGAGTGATTGTGTTGGTTTCACTAGATATGAAGATTTGAACTTTTTGCCACCTCCTCCTGTTTCTCATCAACTTTCTCTGTCAAACACCTTTGGGGCAATGGTTCATCCTCATTTTTATTCTGGAGGGCAAGATCACTCAGGTACTTCTTCTGAGATGGGATTTGAGCCTTTCAGCCCCTCATCATCCCCGCAAAGCAAGAAACCATGGGGTTTTCAGCCTCTGGAAAATGGGAGAACAAGAAATCATGGTGATCAGTACCCTGTGCTTCTTGGGATTGATCAGAAAAAGGGCATGCCTTTAATTCTTGCTGGAGAGGAAGCTGATGAAGGTAGAAGCCTTGCTGCTGCTGGGAGAACTGGTACTGGTGGGCATACAAAGAGTTGTGCCAGAGGCCATTGGAGACCTGCTGAAGATTCGAAGCTCAAAGAACTTGTGGCCCAATATGGTCCTCAAAACTGGAACTTAATTGCTGAGCATCTTGATGGCAGATCAGGTAACTCTTTTCTCCCTCTTTGGAATTGGTATTTTGTAATTTTATATGATAATTTGTTAAATTTGCAACCTTTTTCTTTTTATTTATTCACTTTTTAAATTTTGGGAATGTATGCTAATTGATCGAACATTGTTCGTCAACTGCTGTGTTCTGTTTTTTATTTGTAGGAAAGAGTTGCAGATTGAGGTGGTTTAACCAGCTAGATCCAAGGATCAACAGAAGGGCTTTCAGTGAGGAAGAAGAAGAAAGGCTCCTGGCTGCCCATAGACTTTATGGCAACAAATGGGCCATGATTGCTAGGCTCTTCCCTGGAAGGACTGATAATGCTGTGAAGAACCATTGGCATGTGATCATGGCTAGAAAACACAGAGAGCAATCCAATGTTTACAAGAGAAGAAAGCCTTCTTCACCTCAGGCCACCCAGCTTCCTAAGGAATTTGATCACCCTCCTGTGACCAATTTTCAAAAGAATACCTCCAGCACTGAATCAACTGTCTCAATAAGCACCATTGACGACACTCAATCTGCTTCAACATGCACTGAACTGTCCCTCACTCCCTCCACTAGGCTACCTCTTAGCTTTTTTAGCAAGCTCCATCCGTTTCAGCAACACCAGAACTTTGGATCTCAGATGGGTATGTGTCCTTAATTTGCCCCAACTTTTACTCTAAACATAAATCATAAAAAATTTTGAGCATTTTGTTCTTTTGTTCGTTTGGGTATTAAAAAAAAAAAAAATTTTTTTTTTTTTTTTTTTTTTTTTTTTTTTTTTTTTTTTTTTTTGGGGGGCTAATTAATTTGGTTTGATTTATATTTGATTACTTATTCTTCTTGTTGTTGCAGCCTCATCAAGTGATGGGGGTTCTGGCAAGATCATTGGCAATGGGAATGGCTTGTGCAAAACTGGACCTCTGGGAGGAGCTATGATGGGTGTGGACCAATCTGGTCATCAATCAGATTCAAACTCAGAAATTTCAGGAGATGAATCAGTCACCACCACTAGGACCAATGTGTCATTGTCTGGGGAAAATCAAAACCAAAATCTGAATAATAATGAGAAGATCAGCATGCCCTTCATTGATTTTCTTGGAGTGGGCACGGGTTAAAAAAAAATGTGGGTTTTGGGTAGGAACAAAAGAGAAAGGCTGGAACTTTAGCTAAAGTGCAAGAGCTTTAACCATTACAAACACCCATGTATCTGTGATGTGGTAAAAGTGCGTCTGCAAGGAGGGGCATCTCTACAGTCTTTTGATGTGTATATTTAGTTCTATAAAAGGGAAATACAGAGCTACAGTAAACTAGGTAAAAGCAGCAGAGAGAGAGAGAGAGAGAGAGAGAGAGAGAGAGAGAGTTTAAAAAAAAATGATATGAGAGTGGTTCAACTTGAAAATAGTTGTGAAAACGTCTTTTGGAAGGAAGCAAGAAGGAAGGAAGCAAGCAGCAGTGGGGTTTGGTTTTGTTATTTTATTCTCTATGTGATGTTGTTTGTTTTGTGGCATTTTGCACACGAGGCAGAGCCAAAGCTACTTGTTGCAGACTGCTGACTCAATGAATGAACCTGCCCATGTTTCATGACTAGTTTTTAATGCTCTCTCCATCTCAAAATGTCAATGTCATTGGTTTTTTTTGGTATTACTTGTTTGACCGTGTTTTCCACGCCCTTGCTATTAATACCCTCCTCTTTCTGCCTATGGTTTGGTTGGTTGCTCTGCTACTAAAACCCCTGCCTTTATTACAACATCCACTTAGTGCTAGTGTAGTCAATAATGCCAATGCCTTCATGATGGATAAAAAAACTAGTGGTAGAACGACTTTATACTTGCGGTTACATTATTAATTAATGTATTAATGTACAAGTGTTAGGATTTAGTTAGCAAGCAAGCAAGCATTATAATCTCGGTAGATTAGCAACAACATGTTTATATACGGCTGCACTCAGAAACTTCTTGATCTTCATGACGGCAAAATATTACTAATTCAGTCAAATAATAACATAATGAAGAATGACTTTATACATATAGTTATGTACCCGTCTTACGATTTAGTTAGATTGATAACACTACGTAGGACATGTTACATGGTGTTATGATCACATAGTAATTTGTCTACGTTCAGTGGGGTCTTGAGAAGCAAGGGAAAATAAAAGTTGGAGTGGGGTAGCTTTTATCAAATGCATATAAAATAACAGTGAATCTTGTAGGAGAGAAAATAGGCCGGTTTGATCACCATTTTAATTTTAGGTTTTAGTTTTTATTTTTTGTGTGCTAGAGTATTGAGGAAAAATAGGGAGAATGGAAGTGATAATGAAGATGAGATTGAGAGGGAAGAAGAGAAGGGCGGATGTGGGGAACGAGTAACAAAAGTGAAAGCTGAAATCTATTTGAAATTGTTTTCACTTTTGTTACTCCTCCCTTTCATCATCTCTCTCATCCTCACTCTCACTTTCCTCTATACTATAGCACAAAAAATGAAAAATGAAAAATGAAATGGTTAGTAAACGAGTCCTAAGCTCATTATCTATTTGTGCAGAGAGAGAGAGAGAGAGAGAGAGAGGTCATGTCACTTGCGATTGCTTTTAATTGGCATTTCTTTTCAAGGAAAAAGTGGCACACTCATGTCTCATTTTCGTAGTTGAAATTTGTTTCTTTTTAGATCAACTGATCTGTAATGAGGGCCACAATTATGAACACGTTCTTTTCGTTTTGGTTTTATTTTTATTGGCTGGCATTTCGTGGTCACTGTAATGTGATAGAACCTAATTGAAGCAAGGGATAAAAATCGAATGGCCAGCATTCATGAATCACGTGGAGAGGTTGACCCCAAAAATGCATGACAAAATAGGATGACAACCGTGTACTCTTGCAACTATGAATAATGAACCTGGTTTTCATTCCGTTTTGGGTTATGGACATTATTGATGTGTTTTTTTTTGGGCCTTTCTTCCAGCCTAAAAAGGAAATGAGGCTTATTTAATGTGGACATGAACTAGGTTGTTTTTCATGTCTTGGGCTTTGGCTTTTGATTTTACTTCCTTTCAGTACAAAGTGGTGAACTGTGTAAGTTCTAGAAAGGAATTGCCAATTATATTTACATATAGGCATTCGAGAGATTTTTTATTTGCTAATACTCAATAATGTAGGGACATGTCATACTTGTATAATGTAGGCACTACCAGCGGCGGACCTAGGAATTTTTCAGCGGAGGTGCAATTTTTAAAAGCTAAGAGCTCAAAAAAAAAGAAAAAAAAAAGAAAAAAGAGAAGATAATTAAACATCCTTATAATTTAAACAATACTAATGTTATTCATAATTAATTAAAATAATAACATTACAATTAACCTACAATTATTGCTGACGAGCCTTCATATCATGAAAACGTCGCATTATATTTGCATTACTAATATAATTAACCTACAATTATTGTGACTTGCGATTTTTTTGGACTACCCGAATTATTTAAGGGAGGATGTGAAGTAGGCAGATTATTTGAAGGTTGATTTGAACTAGCTGGATTATTTGAAGGAGGGTTGGAACTAGTTGGATTATTTGAGGGATGATTTAAACTACTCGGATTATTTGAAGGAGGATTTAAACTCTTTCTTTGAAAGAACCGTTCCATTACTGTACAATTAAAACAAAATAAGGGTTTTATATATATTACTATGACTAATTGACTATAATTTATCAATTAAATAAACAAATCAATATCAAATTATCAATTAAATAAACAAATAAAAATTAATTATACCTTGAATAGCATGTCTAGTAGCCTCTTCCTTCTCGAGTTTGCTACTGATCTTACTAATAGCTATATAAGAAAAAAATAAATTTATTAAAAAAGAATAAAAAAAGAATAAACAAAATTGGCGTTTGCTCAAGAAAAAAAAATGCATTTGACTTACTTTGGATTGGCGTACTCAAGAAGAAGAAAAAACGTAGGATTTTTGTGATGCATACACAATTGAATAAATTGGTTCTTTATATAGAGAATTCCAATCCCAATTAAGTAAGGAATAATATAAATTAAAAAGCCCAATAGAATGGCCCAGCAGCACAGTAGTTTCCTATATTTTTATGTTTTTTTAAAAATAAAAAAAACACCCTTGTTCAAAATGACGTCGTTTTGGCCAGGTTAAAAAAATAAAAATAAAATAAAAAACACAACAGCGCCTCTTTTAAAGCCTGGTCCAAAACGACGTCGTTTTGGCCAGGTTGTGTTAAAAAAAAACCAAGCCCGCTTGCACAGCGCGCAGCGCACAGCGATGCAAGTCTCCCAGCCCAGGCGGTTTGGGCATTTCGTCAAACAGGTTCTGTGCATCTCATTTCTGAAGCAGACGTGCAATTCTAGCAGTGGTAATAGACTTTTCCGGCGACCGGAGGTGCAAGTGCACCTCCTTGCGCCTGCACAGGTCCGCCATTGGGCACTACCATGTCATATTAGTTCTTATTAGGAGTGGATATAGTCATAATTGAATTGGTTTCATCTTAAAATCGCAGTCGAATTAATTGCAACGGTTTGGTTTGGTTTGATTTTGACAAAAATCTCAAAAGAAACTAAACCAAACTAATTTAAGACAGTTTAGTTCAGTTTGGTTTGGCCGGTTTGGACCTAAGCCAAATTCTCTTTCATTTTGTATTTTTTCAACATTGTTAGCCCATTTGCAACCAAAAAGTGCACAACTTGCTACATACTTTTTTCATTTGTTAGAGTAGCAAACTATCCTAAATCTCGACATGCCACAAAATTTCAAATTTCAATAATTAATATAGCTACGATTCAAATATCAATAATTCAAAAGGTTCATCAAACTTGAAATTCAACATCCATATATAGTTATCATCTAATTAGAGTACTGCACATGTAAAATAAAATAAAATAAATAAATATACAAGTAGACAGTTTGATTCAGTTTAGGCCAATTTACAAAAGCTCAAAATCGACCCAAATCAACCCATATACGGTTTGGTTCAGTTTTAAACCTTTTGAGTTTTTCTTGGTAAAAGTCAAACCAAACCGATAATGACTGTTTGGATCGGCTAGATTGATTGTCTAAAGACAATATGAATATTTTTTTGGGGTCCTTTTTAGTGCTCTGTAGTGGCGTTTTTCGAGAGTTTGTCACAGATATTGCACTTAGGGTTTTACCTCATAGATTGAGGGTCTTTCGATGGATCCAACTATTGATGTTGAGCTGAGTTCGATTCTACAATGATGCATGTTGTATGATTTTGAGGAGAAGATTATATTTGTGGGAAATGAGGTTTGAAATTGGGTGGTTTGTGAAAAAGGTTGAGTTTGATAGGAGGGCTACTTAATACTCAAGGGTTTAATGGTACACCACTGTCAGACTATGACCCAGAATTGGAAGATGGAGCAATGAGTACATATAATTGAGGTTGGGTGTCACTAAAATTAATTTCAAAGAAGAGAAATTGAATTCACTTTGTACATCAGGACTCAAAATAACACTTAAATCCCTATTGTCTTTCTTCATGTTGATGATTTGGTGTTTACCGATAATGATGCGAATTTGATAATGGAGTTTCCTTTGTGGAAGAAAAGAATAATTGAGAACTCATGAGACCACTCATCCAGAACCCATGAACCAGGGCTTTGGAACCTGCAAAGGTGTATGACTGGCTACAAGCCTACGAAGACCTAATCATACTAGGAATCCACATACCCAAGACCTAGGGCTAAGGTGATAACTTTTGGAAGTGTTTAGGGATAAAACATACTAATTTATATGAGAGAGATGAAGTGCACAAGTTTCACACTTTCTCTGATGAGTGGTGATTCCATGGAGGTTTGAACCTGAGACCTATGATCTGCACGTCAAGGCCCTTTTCCACTAGGCTTGACCCCGTTGGCTCAATATTTTAATTGGATGTAAACCTAATGTCCATTCTCAATCTACCACACAATCATCCCCACATACCTGAAATGAGATGTGTGACCTTTGTGAGGAAATGTATAGGTACATGAGCGCAAGTACTAAGTCAGTCACTAGACTAACAAAAGCGTATAACTCAAAAAGCATATGTTGTATATATCAAAGCCCAATCTAGTACACCAGTGGGGTTTGGTAGCAATTTTCCCCCATGGA